ATGGAGGTGAAGAAAACCGTGTCATTGGCTGAATTATGCCGCACTTAAGTATTAAAATATAATCAAAGGTGTGGTCAGGAAAAGTTGGTGTTCGGGTCAATAAACAAAACTAAAGAAAGAAAGAAAGAAAGAAAGAAAGAAAGAGAGAGAGAGAGAGAGAGAGAGAGAGAGAGAGAGGTTCTTATCAGTGCGTTTTTCTGAACAATGAGATAATGAGACGAACCGTTTCCGTGGGGTACGGGAGGGACACATGGGGGAGAGAAAATTGAGAGGAGGGGTGAGGAAAGGGAAGGGAAAGGAGGAAGGGATAAAAGAGAGAATGTAGGGGAATTAATGAAGAAAATCGAAAAATAATTAGAGGAATTGACGAGGAGATTAAAAAAAGGGGGCTGGGGAGGGGGGTGGGGGAAGAGGGGGGGTGAGAATGAGAGTAGAGTGGAAGAGATAGGGAGGGAGGGAGATAGCAAAGGAGGGGCGAGGGGGGGGACTACAACGCCGAAAGTTAGTGTTGTCATTAATAGTTCATCCAAATAGCCGATGAACATTCACGAGCCCCTCTCTCTCTCTCCCCACCTACGGCAGGTAATAAAGCCCTCTACAGTATTTCACCACCTGAGAAAATAATAGTATCGGCAATGTGAAACTAATGCTATAGTTATCTGGTGATTATTGTAGTTTATGATAATTTTCCTTCTAGATTAGAAATTAAAATATGATTATGTCTGTGAAGTGAAAAAAATATATATTTTGTTTTGCACTACAAGAGAACTTATTGTTATTATATTTGGCAATTGAGAAAAAAAAATCAGGGTTTGGCAACGAGGGGCTAAGGGGTAGTCACACGGGATAGACTTCCGATAGTGTGCCAGTTTTGTTAATGCACGTTCTTTCGCTGTACAGTAGTTGGTTTCACGTAGTGACAGCACTCATTTTTATCTAATTCCTTCACCTGTGTCCCCCGTGTAGACATGAACGAACGATGGTGTGTGTACCTGCTGGTGATAGTAACCAATATTACCTTCGTCTACTACTTGGGTCTACTAGACGGCGCCCTTGCACCAGTGTCAATCCCTAAGCCTTGTGGGATAGCATGTAGCGGTGAGTGATGACACGACTTCTACTACTGTCTTTGGTAATACTTCTACTTCTATAACTCATGCCATTATAACTAATATTACTCGTCCCACTACTACCAATTCTTCTATAACTAACAACTACTACTTATAATAATAACAATATTAATAATACGAGTACAACTGGTGTGTAATGAGGGGTTTTAAGTGTAGGACATGTAGAGAGTAGGAATGTAAAGAGAGGAAGAGTTTGGTTTTTTAAGTTTAACAAATTTATTGGCAGAGCTTGTAGTACAGTTTGCCTATTCTGAGAAATTCAGTCAGGTCTTGACACTGAGGGTGGTATCACTTCTCACTGTCACGCAGGACAGAGGTTCACACACAAAGAAATACATCATATTCATTAACAACTATAAATGTATAGAGGTCAGATTCAAATGGATAATGTCACTGTTCACTGCCATGCAGGACAGAGGTTCGTACACAAAGAGTTGCATCATATTCATTGACAGTACATATACATATATGTAAACACGCACACACACATATACATACATATACGTATATACATACACATATACACGTACACGCACATATACATGCACACACGCACACATACATACATATACGTCGGTCAGATTCATGTGGGTAATGTCACTTTTCACTGCCATACAGGACAGAGGTTCGTACACAAAGAATGCATCATATTCATTGACACTATATATAGGTCAGATTCATGTGGGTAATGCCACTGTTCACTGCCACGCAGGACAGAGGTTCGTACACAAAGAAGGAAATACATCACATTCACCAGTAGCATATATAGGTCAGTGGATCACATACATTGGAGTCATATTCTAATTGAAGACTAATCAGTGTGGGCTAGCAAATTTGGGATAAACAGCAAGAATGTCCTCAAGCACACCTGATTCAATGAAGTAATTACATAGTTCAAGATACAGTAAGTCAGGTGGCCTGAAGAGTTTGGTGGCGTGGCCGTGTTAGTTATTTACACTGTCAATACACTTATCTTATCTTATATGTCAATACACATATATTACGTTCTTAAGGACGACTTCTCAAACACCGCTTCGTTACAACTGTTTATTAATTACGACAATGACATGGACACATTAATAGCACCTTCTCTCGAAGTTACTAGGGCATTATATTTACGTTACTAGGACATCATATTACGTTACTAGACACTGATCCTCGGACACGAACCTGAATGAATACACTTCCCATGTAAGTAACTCATCCCATGGATAGCTCTGGCAAGAACTCACGTGACCTGGGGAAGGCCTAGCAGGTGATTCTGGGTTGTCTGTATGGGCACCGGTGTCCGGAGGGAAGTCGGGAGGGAAGTCTCGCTCCCGACCAGGGGAGGCTTGCCTCCGGCTCTCTCTGTCTGTCTGTCTCGACTCTGCTTTGTCGACTCTCGCTCGTGAGGGAGGGCTACGACGTCCTATATATTGGGAGACGAGCCATCAGGTTGAGTTGATCAGGGGGGCGGCGAAGGGTCTCCTTACGTTTGACCTCGCTAATGTAGGGTCAGGTCTGGACTTTTCTGAGACTAAAGTTGTATATATTGGAGACAGGCGGCCTCTTCTGCTGACTGGGTACCTGTTAACATCGTTGGTGGGGCCGTGTGACATGGATGAGTTGTGGCCCCTTGACTTGGGCTGCGAGGGGTCCCTTTACATTTGACCTCAGGTTACTGTGTATATTGGGGGAGAGTCGGCAGGTGGCCTCTTCTTCTGACTGGGTGTCTCTTATATATTTGTTGGGGCCGTGTGACATGGGGAGGGGTGCTGGTTGATTTGTAACCTCCTTGAGCGGCCGTGAGGGGTACCCTGACACTTGACCCCCCTAATGTCGGGTCAGGTCTGGACTGTTTCTGAGATGTAAGCTGTGGTCTGACAACCCATCACTACAGGTGCTAAAAAATTTTCTATAACTATTTACAGCTGCTAGTATTTTTTATATTGTTGTCATTATTATTAACCTGCCCGACACTGTGGACAGGGTATTGTTTTTCCATTTCTTTCTGTCGGTTAGTTTGTGTCCCCCAAATAACTATAGAACACATTTTTACCGAACTTTGTAATATGGTCCATAGGTTATTTTTTTTTACCAGATTGCGATAAGATTGTTCAAGTGTTGCCATCTAAATGGTTCGAGTAATGATAATACACAATTTTCTCGAAATTTACCCTGCCATGGTATGGGTACTGTATGAGGGTAGATTTGGCATGCGTTGGTTTATTTATTATTAGTAATATATATATATATATATATATATATATATATATATATATATATATATATATATATATATATATATATATATATATATATATATATATATATATATATACAAAAATATCATTCATCACTCTGTGTCACCAACCATACCACGATCACATCCTTCTCTCAGGCTTAATACAAACAAATAAATACAATCATAACAGTTGCCAGGGCTTAGTGTGTAAGAAGTTTGTTTTATTACTCCGTGTAAATGACCTAAAGCATTTGTTTTAGAGTTACATGTCCGCGGCTCGAAAAAATAAGATCCAGGTGTGTTACATTTTAATAACTGTAGAAAGAAATTTGCTCTTTTTTTAACGTGTAAATAATTATTATTACTGTGAAGATTGTATATAAAAAAATACATAGGTTATTGCAGTATCTTCTGTGTGATTCTTAGTAGAGAAGGCGGCCACCCTCACCTTAAGACAAGCATGGGAGGAGTCAGATGTAACTGTGTACACTATCAGCCAGATAGTGAACGAAGCTGTGGCCAGCAACACAGCGATGGAGTAGCTGCGTCCTCGGCTCCGCAGGTGTTGGCTGCTTCACCCACCACAAGTGGGGGTATCTCAAACAAAGTCTTGATACAACTAGGCCACAGTTACGTTGATTCTTGACTATGTAAACGTAGAGTTCAATTCAATTTCAATTGTTTATTCCTTGATCGAGGAAGCGGGATCCTAGTGCTGTCACTAGGCACCCCTGTAGAGTTGTCCCTCTTTTCATTTTCGGTAGTTGCCACCACCATCGCTGCTCTATATTCAACGAACTATAAACACACACACACACACACATGCAGGTTACAAACTCAGTATCGTGCTAACTCTAAACCCTTGATATGATCCCTGAAACAGGGAGACACCCCAACACGATATCATACATGAGAATAAATTTACCTGACATTGTCTTACCTGTGATGGTGTGAGTGAATGAATTTACTTTATGGCTCTCCCATTATGGGTCATTAATCATACCTAACTACTGTCATGGAAGAGATTATGCATTCAACTAATGACCTTTACATTATGCACTATGAAGTTGAGTTAATCACTATCATCTAATAACTGATCAAAACGTCCACTAAATAATGAAAAAAGTTAACATCATCAAACTCAATATATTTTCCATGCAGCATAATGCCCGCGCCATTTATTTGGTGCATTGATAGGGTCATTAATTACTGAACACGTCACGGCCTCAGTGTGACAGTTGTCGTAATGTTGGTCATATTAGGCATAATTGTCCGGTCAAAATGTTGGTCATATTAGGCATAATTGTCCGGTCAAAATGTTGGTCATATTAGGCTTAATTGTCCGGTCAAAATAAACCAGAGTCAGGGAGTCAGGTTACCTCATTTCACTTTTAACCGAATAAAACAGATACAGTCACGGGAATAAATACAGTCACAGATACAGTCACAGACACATACAATCACAGGCACAGATACAGCCACAGACACAGATACAGTCACAGGTACAGTCTCGTTCAATATTCTTCGAACACTGCTGGCAACTCAAGGCCGTTTGTTTACTTTAGTACGTAGTAAAAATTATGAATAAATGTAAAAGTCCTCGGTGATTGGTTATTTAGTTGGGCTTCGATGTTTCGTATTATGTTTGTCTAGTTTCACAGGATTCGTCTTATTTTTGTTTTTTCGGGGAATATTTTATTTAATTCCTGTAACGTGTTTCCATGTACACACCCGGATATTTAGTAATGAAATTCAAATCCAGCTAGACCTACAACTCAGCTAAAGTTACGCGTTTGGTCCGACTAAGCTTAACGAGTCAAGACTAACAAACTGTGGAAGATGTGACGAGGCGGAGACTAGGAGCCGCTCGCTGATCATGAGCTGGTTTATTGCGATGAGTGAGGCTGAGAGAGAAGGTGGGTGGTGCGCTTCTTGAGTATGTTTTCGTGTGATTGTATATAACGTTATACAGTACCTTGGGCTCACAGATTATCATAGTTTTGGCTTACAGATTATCATAGCCTCGACACACAGATTATCATAGCCTCGACACACAGATTATCATAGTTTGTACTCACAGATTATCGTAGTTTGTACTCATGGATTATCATAGATTGTACTCAGAGATTATCATAGTTTGTACTTACAGATTATCATAGGTTGGACTCACAGATTATATATCGCAGTTTGGTTCACAGATTATCATTACTTCAAGTTGTAGATTATCATGCCACTAACCTCCCTGATACTGCAAACCAGCCAGGGACCACTAACCTCCTAGAGACCACTAACTTCCCAGAGACCATTAACCTCCCAGTGACCATTAACCTCCCAGGTACTATTAACCTCCCTAACCTCCCAGGGACCATTAACCTCAGGGACCATTAACCTCCAAGAGACCATTAACCTCCCAGAGACCATTAACCTCCCAGTTACCATTAACCTCCCAGTTACCATTAACCTCCCTAACCGCCCAGGGACCATTAACCTCCCAGGGACCACTACCTTCCCTGGAACCATTAACCTTCTAGGGACCATTAACCCCCCTTTCTCCCCACAGTGGAGGAGTCGCCGCACTTTCTGATCCACACACCAGGCTGTGTCATCCCGGACTTTGACCCGTTGGATCCCACCATCTCTAAATACAGAACGACCGAAAACAAGACGGTAAGAGAATCGTCCACGAGCTCTCTGACTCTGTCTAACTATTTTATGTCGATGGTTTAACCCTTTGTGAATCATGTTTTAACTCTTTGTGAAGCATAGTATCATTTAGGAATTCTGAAGCAACAAATTCTGCTGAGCCATTCACGATACTGTACACGGGTTCGACTCTCTAGTGACCCGTGTGGTTGACGTGGGTAATGCTTCAGGTTCAACTTGGTTGTCGTCTACTGTTCGTTACGTCAGTCTGTTACTCTCCAGGGGCAATGATTCTTAGGTTACTGGGCTTATTTCTTGACGTATTCATAATAACATAAACATCAGAAGTCTCCTGAAGTTGTCTTCATAGTGAGTCTTCCTTAATCCTGAACTTGGGGATATTTAACTTTATGTAATGTGTTCCATTATTAAGATCCCCAAGTGCTTCACCAGGTAGTATGTTCAACCAGGCGGCCGCTGACGGAGACTCAAGGCCTGCTCCTTGTGGTGTATAAGGAACGAGCGGTGGACTACGGCGTGACCTGGGAGTCCCTCAACTGCTCCTACAGAGGCATCAAGAGGATTCAGCAGAATCCTGTCAAGTATAACAGCAACTGTGATAAAACTTCCGTGTGAGTACAACGTGTACCACGTATTAACACATCACACTAACACATGTAAAGGCCAGATCACACGCACGCACGCACACACCCACACATACAATATATATATATATATATATATATATATATATATATATATATATATATATATATATATATATATATATACACTAGCAGAATCGCCGCCCTCCGGGTGGCTCATCCGCTAGGCCACGGTAGGACGCCACCCTCCGGGAGGCTCCACTTTGTCTCACTGTTCAGTCCCCAACACTTCTTCTTACATCAATAGTTCATTAACGGTGTATGTAAGTTCCACCATGTTTTTCACCACAACGGTACAGCAAAGTATATTTTTTTTAGCATTAAACTGTTATTATTTTATTGTCTAATCTATCACTACATATAACATCACCCATCATCACTACATATAACGTCATCCATCATCACTACTTATAACACCATCCATCATCACTACATATAACACCATCCATCATCATCACTACATATAACACCATCCATCATTATCACTACATATAACACCATCCATCATCACTACATATAACACCATCCATCATCACTACAGATGGGTAAAGTAGTTTCCGAGATTCTCGTGCAGACACACACACACACACACAAACTCACAAACAAACACACAGACATACTTCTTTGTTTTATATATATATATATATATATATATATATATATATATATATATATATATATATATATATATATATATATATATAGATAGATAGAAGATATATATATATACAGTAGGGTATGCTATAACGAACGTAATTGGTTCCAGAACCTCGTTCGTTATAGGATTAATCCGTCCCAGGCCCCCAAATACAACCACTTAACACTGAAAAAATTCTGTGGAAAATGTAAAAAATACGGTACTTTATCTTACCTTAGTATTATTCAGCATGCAGGTACCCCTAAACACTGGCACATCACTATCACTTCCACTGGGAGTCTTGGCTTTAAGGTCCTCAAACAATTGTTTGGCCTTCTCACAAATTATAGCTTCACTAATGTTACCACCTGCCATTTCTTTCTCCTTTATCCACACTAAGAGTACATTTTCCATCTCTTCAATCACATTACACCTTGCTTTGCTAAGTCTAAAGATTCCCTTAGCCACTTGCACTGTTTGTAACTCCTCTTTATTCTTCAAAATCGTACATATAGTCGATTTAGTCATCCCATACTCATCACTAAGTTTCGCAATGCTTCTTCCATTCTCACGTTTCTTTATAATTTCTTTCTTAGTTTCAAGGGTTATTAGCTTTCTCACTCGCTTTGGACGACTCATTGTTACAATTGTATACTTGTATAACAAAATAGTTATACAAATAACGCGAATTTCCACATCAAAAGACGAAATTTCAACAATAACACTGGTGCACAATGAGACAAAGATGGCGCCTGACGCTCTTGTTGTGGGTCGCGGTACAACAATATTCATGCGCCAGGCGAAGTAGTCCCGTATTCATCCGCGTTCGTTATACCATACCCCACTGTATATATATATATATATATATATATATATATATATATATATATATATATATATATATATATATATATATATATATATATATATATATATGCTGATAACCACATCTTCAGGGGTGAGTACAGACAGAACTCACCCCTGAAGATGTGAATTACACGAAAGAGCTTGGGAACTTCGTGTTTTCTTATTTCCCTGTGGTTATCAGCATATACTTGAATCACGCACACCTACAGTGATTTACTTGCATATATATATATATATATATATATATATATATATATATATATATATATATATATATATATATATATATATATATATATATATATATATATATATTCAATTGTAGACTGCATGAGGTCATCCCCATAAAGGAGGAGTCAGCCATCGTTGACGAGGACGGAATATTGGTGACTTGTCAAGAGGAGACCAACGGAACCAACACGGTGTACAAGAACGTTCACTACTTCGTGCAACCCAGAGTTGTGAGAGATAAGCGGAAAAAGTTCCAGGTAATTTTCATTTATGGTTATACAGTAAAGTTAAAAATAGTGTCGCCTTAATAAACTAATACATTTATATAGTCCAGGGGCTACAAGACGGAAATTTCTAAAAGTATGACCGGCTGGATATAAAATTTTCATGATGATTTTATGGTAGTATTGTTCTTCTCCAACTTCAAAACCAATGTCGGACAGGTGAAAGCTCCTGCACCACATTGTGAGCAAGGTTTTTGTAATAAGACCAACATGTACAAGTGGTACCGCATTCAAGTCTAACATGTCCCATGCAGTAACACTTAAATGATATTCTAAAATGACAATAAATGAAATAATTAATTGATAACTTCAGTTAATAAATAAACCAAAAATCAAACATAATGACATTCAATAGATACAAAAAGTGAATTCAGTCTTTTTTAATCAATGTTTTCCTTTTTAAATTACTCTCGTTGACATTCTATCTACAAATGTGTCTGCTATTTAAAAAAAATACAAATAATACTAAAATAATTACCATAGTTAAATTATTATAAAATATATCAAAGTAGTAAATACAAAATGAAAAACAAGGTGGACATTTCATGACGATATCGTTAAGAAAAAGTTTCCTACTAAACAACACCAATATATATGGTAGTCAAAAGAGTATACACTGTATGAACACTATATTGCTACCAGTATATAAGCACAAGTACAAGTGACAAATTCTGCACAATGATATACGACCCTTGTTTATGTTACCAGGTTGAAAAGTTCATTACTCGAAACAGTACCCATTTATAATCATCTTCATCTGCGTCATCACATGAAGAATAGTCATGAACTCTTCCACATTTACTTTGTTCTCCATGGCAATTATAAGCAATTGTACATGGTGCAAATGTTTTACTACAAGTACAGTTCTTTAAGCATTGACATAATGTGCATTGGTAAAAAAGTTTATATCACACACTGTGGTTTACAGGATTTTGTCATCATTAATGGAATTAAAGTTCATTTGTAAATATCCATCCAAAATTAGTAGGTGAGGGCAAATCAGGTGAGATCTCTTGTAAAATTAAATCTGGTACAAGCTTCTCTAAAATATGTTACTCTGCAGAATCAACAGTAGGAGGCAAAGCATGCAAGTCAGATACTGTAGAGAAAAATAAATGAGCTCTTAAAACATCTAGAGAATCAAACTCTTTGTGTCCATAGAGAGCTGACATAATTGCAATGGCATCCTTGTACACTGCTGACTGTAAGGGGTAATGTACTTCATTCCCTAATGCTGATAGGTGAGGAATTATGCCTATAAGCTGCATTTGCCGCCTTATTCTTCCCATGCCTGTAATAATAACTGACTGTGTCACAGCCACTAAGAACATAAGCATTGAGTAAACAACTGTTGAAACAAACTATGAACAAGGAGAAAATTTCATCTCTTTTCAATCCATAAACTTTGAAGTTGCAGTATTTTTTATATTAACTTAAAAGAGCAACATCTGTGTCGCTTGACTGAACCACAATATCAGTACATCCGAACGTTTCAGCTGAATATGCCATATGAGTCACTATCTGAGTATCTGCCTGTTCATGGTCAGTACAAGCGATTTCAGGAACACAGCTGATGCTGTGCACAAACATGTTCAAAATTCTGACTAGTTCCTTACATCTTGTCTGATTCAGTATGTGGAGAGCCAGACCAGTGTGTTTAGGCATTGACAAACTGGTAACACATACCATTAAGTCTTGGACATTATTCAGCACCTTTTTCAGATTTCTCCTTTGAAAGTCTTACTCTGCCATTCTCTTCCAAGTATATAATATATATTGAAAAGTTAACATGTCTTCCTTCTGTAGACTTATTTCACCTCGGTTTTAAGATATATACATGATATCACAATACCAGCCACTGTGAGCTTATGCAAACCAAAAATAAAATCCAACATTGTGTTTCACATGTACCAAGGTGTATAGAAACATATGTTATAGGTGAACATTTTATACCTCAACCCTTAAAATGCGAGCTATGTAAGATTAGCCCCCTTGACTAATACCTAGGTGAGGTTGGTAACTGGTGAAGTTAAGTAGAAAGTTGTATTAAGTATAAAGAGGTGCAATAATTTTCACATGCACAAACATATGAAGAGAGACTAAGTGATATACTGTAGTTTGTTTAGGGTCTTTTAGCGAAGCACTAAGTTTGGGCAAAAATTTTGAGTTCCCAAAGCAGCTGGGAATCGATTACATCTCCAAGAAACACCTCCATCACCTTCTCTTATATATTCGTTGACCTGCAGGAGGACCACGGAGAGCGACGGCCACGCCAGGACCCGCTGAGTGTCATCGTCATGGGCACAGACGCTGTCTCCAGAGGGAACCTTCGCCGCCACATGCCCGAGACCTTCGACTATCTTAAAAAAAGCCTGGGAGCCATCGACTTACATGGCTTTAATAAGGTCGCCGACAACACCGACCCGAATATGATCGCCGCCTTAATGGGGCTGACCGAAAAGGAATTTAAGAATCATCCCTGCGTGCCTAATAAAATGTCAAAGTTTGACGACTGTCCCCTGATTTGGAAAAATTATTCTGAAAACGGCTACGCAACAGCTTATGGTGAAGACTCACCTTGGATGGGGCTCTTTCACTATAATAGAGCCGGTTATGTGAAACAGCCGACTGATTATTACAACAGAGCGTCTTTCCTAATATCCGAGAGAGAGATAAGTCACAACGCTGGCCTCGGAAAATCCAATGGACGCTACTGCCAGGGGAGCAAGTTAAGTGCGAGTGTTGTGCACGACTACTCCCTCCTCGTGGCCGACGCCCTCAAGGACATTCCGTACTTTGGTTTCTACTGGACAGCTTCCCTCTCGCATGACTATCTCACCATGGCGAAAGCGGTTGACAGACCATCGCTATGGTACCTCCAGCAACTACACTCCAGAGGCTACCTTGATCACACCATTCTCTTCTTCATTAGTGACCATGGGCAGCGGTGGGGCGACTTCCGGTCAACCTACGCCGGGATGCTGGAGGAAAGGTTACCCTACGTCATGATAGTGTTTCCTCCCTGGTTTAAAGACCAGTACCCTGAGGCCTGGGCTAACTTACACACCAACACCCGCCGACTCACCTCAACGTTTGATATCCACGTCACGTTGAGGGATATCCTGACACAGGCTTATACCGACCTGTCTACTGCGTAAGTTACAAACATACAACCATAGTTCTCTCACACACACACATTCAATTGTGGAAAAACAGTGCCTGTGACAGCAGAATCATATTTCAGGGGTGAGTACAAACTAAGTAGAAGTGCTGAACAAGTTATATATATACAGAGGAGGGTGAGATCAAGTCCACAGAGGTCAAGTATAGGTAATGACCCTACTAATCTTCACAAAAGCACCGCAGTGGTCGGTAGTCAGGTCAGAGGGAAAAACTGACCCAACCTTCTCACCTGGTTACAAATCTTCTTAATTACAAAATTGTCCAATTTGTACAAACCATTACTCAAATTCATGTTAACGGATTCGGTATGTTTAATGAGACTAGATTGTATAATATTCCTACTGTCAATTGAATTACAAGGTAATATTGAGGAGGCATTATCCCAGTCAATGCAATGCTTAGTATCCCTCAAATGAACAAACAGAGCTGCTAAACCAGAGATTATCATAATACACGTAAAATATATATGATAATTAACTGTGAGATCCTTTAGAGATCAAAGATACACTTGCACAAAGTGTTTAAAAGGTAATGGACAGCACTAGTCTACATTTAATGTACATATCTGCCCAGAACTGCAGAGTTTGTTCCTTCATCATTCCACATACTGTACATCAACAGACCAACAGTAGCCGCTCACGGGCAGAGTTTGTTCCGGGAGGTACCACTGGGCAGGACGTGTGAGAACGCCGGCATCAGCGACCACTTCTGCACTTGCCTCCACAGCACCGAGGTGAACGTGGACGACCCTCGTCTCAAGAAAGTCGTTCAGTTCGTGGTCAAACGACTCAACCAATACCTCAGCCTATACCCTAAATGTGTTCCACTAAAGCTGGACAAAGTAAGCATTATCGTTTTGTTTTCTCTGACTTCCTTTTCATCCTCCGCTTACTCCCACTTCTTTGCATCTTCTCCCTCTCTTTGTTTAATCCCTTCTTTTTACTTTCCCTTTCTCATCAGTTCGTTTTCTGTGACAGATCTTACGGGGTCGTGTAGGAACAGCCACAAACAGTACCATCCCCCAAAACCACGACAGTGTGACCATGATCTTCAATGTTGCCTTCGTTACTAACCCAGGTAATTTAATTAGTTACCTTCGACTTCATTATTAACTCAGGTAGGTGATTAATTGCCTGTGACATCGTCAGGTAATTCTCCAAGTCAGTTATTAATCTAGCATCGACGTATTGTTAGTATTATCAATATTATTATTAACGGTGGAGTAAAATCATTCGTGAATCTTTACAGCACACTCTGCTTTCGGTACTTAAGGCAAGCTAGTTCTGTTCGGTCATATCTAAGACACAGGTCTACAGTATATGTCAGAGTATGAAATACCTTATGGAAACTTGTGTTATTTTTGTATGGTTTGTTTATTCTTGCCTTGGCTGCTTCTTAATGCCGTAACTTGCCCAAGGAATAGTACAGCTTCAACACTTACCTTTTCCTAAGATTCTGATTCTACATATAGCTTTCTGTGCTCATTCTGTTATTTCACTGTCAATTATCTGTCGTCTATCAGGTGCGGCTGAGTTTGAGGGAACAGTCAGGTACCAAAACAAAGTTTATCAGCTAGTGAGCGACGTGTCCAGGATCAACCAGTACGGCAACCAGAGTCACTGTATCAACCACAGCGTCCACAGGAAATACTGTTACTGTAGAGACATGCTACCCACCACCACCTGATTCATCAAACCGCGAGTGTGTTCATTCTAGTCGTTTCCTCTGAAGATGTCTTGAATAAAGACGAAAGCTAAGGTGCTCCGTTGTTTCCCTTTTCCCGTGTGATTTTATCAACTCAGTTGCTACCTGACCCAGCGTGGAGAAGGTCGTGCCCGCAAGTGCTCCCGTTAGAGACCTGACCTGACTAGTCACGTCAACCCCCTTCTCTTAAGCTCCTCTACGTGTGTGTTGGTGTGGGGATTAGTGGATGACATCATCATGACCTGACCTTATGTTTTTAAGGTCACCCTGTATATTTAAGCCTCTCTCTGTCCATGTAATCCAGTTGCCTCTGAAGATGTCTTGAATAAAGACGAAAGCTAAGGTACTCCGTTGTTTCCCTTTTCCCGTGTGATTTTATCAAGATATATATATATATATATATATATATATATATATATATATATACAACATAATAGGAAGGTTGGTCAGTAGCAGTTGCCAGGTTTTTTATAGACAGAAACCGTCAAAGCCCAGACTTCCTGGCACCAGATGGCTGAAACGCACTCGCCTGCAGTTTTGAGATGCGCAAGGCACACGACACATCAGAACTGAAATACGAATCTTACTAAACGATAACTATATTGTATTCATTGGTCTGGTCACTATTGTAGGATGTTGTCAACTTAACCATAGCCACTGCGTTCACTATAAAACTCAGGCATAACATTACACCAAACATTCGAGACCAAACAACGCCTTTCTCCAACAAAATAATGCATGGAGAGAAAGTGTTAGATATATGCCTTGTCTACTTATATATCTATTTATATGTTTTTAGCGAATAGGAAAAAAATTACTGCGGTGAATGGGGGAAGTTAAATACAGATAAGACTATGCAAAGGAAAGACACGGACAGATACTGAAAGTGAGGAGAGATAATAGGAGACACACATGTACAGAGAAAGACAGGCAGACAAGTAAGATTGGGTATAACAGACTGGTAGAAAAACAGAGGGAGTATGTTTGTATTCTAAAGAGATTAAGGAGTTAGGTTAGGTTTGAATTAAGATTTTGGACTTTAATATAGTACTACAACTGGACTTAAGAAAATATATTAAATTAAGGTTCTGGGGTAAAAAAAAAGAAGGAATTTTGTGAATTAATTATTTGTATTGACTCTTGGAAAAATTTCATCCGTTGACAACTTCAGTTACTCTTCTGTAATTTATCGATTCTGATTTTTTGTGTTCTTTTTCTTCAGTTATTCTGGATGTACTAAAGTGGTTAAATACTTCAAAATATCAGGACAATATAGCTACTCCTCGACTTAATTCTCTCTCTCTTTCAATCATGTTGGCAATTTCTATTAAGAATTAGTGGAATAGCATAAAACCCTCACAAGTAACACAATGTATTCCCAGGTAACACAAGATACTCAGGTAACACAAGACACTCAGGTAACACAAGACACTCACAGATACAAGCAATGACCGACGCTCTCCCTGTAAGTACAGTACAGTACTTTAGTTTTTATATCACTAAACTTTTTTCGATAATTTGACAACTTATAAATTGAAAAAGTTTTAATTGTCTTCTTTGCATATCCAACTTTTCTCCAGGATGATGTTGTCCTCAGAGCCGGTTATGTTTTTCATTAAAAACGGTATATATATATATATATATATATATATATATATATATATATATATATATATATATATATATATATATATATATATATATATATATATATATATATATATATATATATATATATAATGATAATAATTAACAGTTTATTGAAAAAGTTCTGCACCCCGAAGGCTGAAAATATACATTGGACATTAATGACTTACTACTGTACATACATTGGTGGTTTAACAAATGCTTTTATTAGAGAAAGGTAAAGGAACATACAGTGAACATACAGATTAATGTAGGTATTGAACAGCAAACACGTAGTGTAGTAACTCCCTCCCAGATGGTGTTAAAAGAGATCTGACGTGGTGTAGTAGTTCTCTCACAGATAATGTTATGAGGGACTTCACGTGGTGTAGTAATTCCCTCACAGATGGTGTTATGAGGGGCATCACGTGGTGTAGTAATTCCCACACTGATGGTGTTATGAGGGGCATCACGTGGTGTAGTAATTCCCTCACAGATGGTGTTATGCGGGGCATCACATGGTGTAGTAATTCCTTCACAGATGGTGTTATGAAGGGCCTGACGTGGTGTAGTAATTCCCTCACAGATGGTGTTATGAGGGACCTGATGTGGTGTAGTAATTACCTCACAGATGACGTGACGTGGTAGTAATTCCTCACAGATGGTGTTATGGGCATCACATGGTGTAGTAATTCCCACACTGATGGTGTTATGAGGGGCATCACGTGGTGTAGTAGTTCCTCACAGATGGTGTTATGAGGGACATCACGTGGTGTAAATTCCCTCACAGATGGTGTTATGAGGGGCATCACGTGGTGTAGTAATTCCCACACTGATGGTGTTATGAGGGGCATCACGTGGTGTAGTAATTCCCTCACAGATGGTGTTATGCGGGGCATCACATGGTGTAGTAATTCCTTCACAGATGGTGTTATGAAGGGCCTGACGTGGTGTAGTAATTCCCTCACAGATGGTGTTATGAGGGACCTGATGTGGTGTAGTAATTACCTCACAGATGGTGTTATATGAGTGAGGTGTGGTCCCAGGCCTTCCTATTGTAGACGGATTAACACACCGCTGGTCTCACGGGTAGTTATCACTGGGTACCTGGGACCTCACTGTGTGAAGGATTAACTTGGGTACGACTCAGCTATTACTGTTGAGTTGTTCTTCACTGACTTAAGCACTGTTCACCTCTGTTCAACACTGGTTCCATTCCTTTCCTAAATGAACTTGTAACTTCTGGCGAGAACTTGTTGATATTCCGGTGGGTAGGAGGGTTCAGGGGATTGAGTTGGAATGGGCCAACTTAACAGTTGACCTGGCTGCTCCCAGAGGAGCGCCAGGTACGTCTTGACCTTCAGAGCGTATGTGTGTGTGTGTGTGTGTACGTTAAATAGAGAAAATCGCCGATTAATGGATAACCCTTTTCTCTTTATTCCTGCAACTTAATAGAAACTGACTAGTACTGTATATGGTAAAATTTGCTGTTTCATATACGACGTCGTTCACCATCTTAAGACAGCAAAAGTACACCTCAAGTAGGATAAGTTAAGTTACGTCATGTTTTCTATGACACTATTAATTTATATGTACTGTACAGTATTGTGTTGTGATGATCTACTTGGTCATCTAAGCTATGCCGTCAGATAAAGTTTCAAAGAAGACGAAATACATAGAAGTTCTCGCTGTTCGGAAATTATTTATATTTGTCAATCAAACTTGAAGAAATCCTGCTTCCTAAACGCAATTATTTATTTAATGTAATCTAAGCTATTCGATTTATATAAATAAAGTCGGAGTGAGAATTGTGAACTCTTGGAACAATCTGTTACAGTGTGTTGTGACAGCACAGAGTGTGAGCTCATTCAAGGCCAGATTTGACAAAGACTGGAGCAGGTTCCGATATATTCAGGAGCCAGTGCATGCCCAGTACTTGCCAACAGTGCGTAACAGAGACGTGACCGACCGCCCAAGCGGTAATGAGCCGATCAGTGGGAAACAGAATGAAAGTAGAAGTAAAAAGAATAGTTAAGGAGCGAAAAACTTATTTAAGGGTCCCCAAAGAACACAAGTTTATATCTGAAAGAAAATGCATTATCTATATGGGTAACTACTTTCCTCTGACTCAGCTGGAGCCTTGCTGGTTGCCAAACTAGAGCAAGTTGGGAAAGAGATCCTTGCTAAGACTGAGGAAGTAGCTGATAGAATGGAGGTGGTTGCTAAGAGGAGTTATGCTGAGGCATTAGCAGGGCCACGGGAGGGGGCGGGGAGTAATGCGGGATCAGAACAGGTTCTACAGCAGCTAGGGACTCTGAAGAAGTGTGTCGAAGAAATTAAAATTAACGGACCTACTGTTAGGGGAGAAGAGGAACAACGGGAACGTTTCCAGCTCAGGAATAATGTAATAGTTTTTGGAGTCCCCGAGAGCCAGGCGGAGGAAACTGAGAGTAAGGTAACACACGATAAGATGCAGTTTAAAAATATTTGTACAGAGGTTCTGAAGATGCCATCAACCCCACAGCATGTGAGGAGGCTGGGACAAAAGCATTGGGATAAGCCTCGCCCCCTCAGGATCACACTAGTGAGTGAGGAGGAGAAATGGGAGGTTATTCGGCAGGCAAAAAACTTAGCAAGGAGCGAGGCATCTCGGAGTGTATTCATTCACCCAGATCGCAATGTAATGCAGAGGGAACAGCACAAGAAGCTCCTGCAGGACTTGAAGCAGAAGAGAGAGGAGTCAAGGAGGAACGGGGACGGGTGTACATGGGTTATATTCAGGGGGAGGGTAGTAGAAGCAAATGTGCCGACACAGGGCCAGGGGGCTGCAGCGCACCCTCCACCCGCTCTACCCCCCACCCGGGAGGTGGCACCAGCTTCGCCTACTAGACAGGAGGAGGCGAGCGCCGTGTAAACAATGACATTTCTATCCACACCCTGCAAAATACAGTGTATTTAGCAAATGCTGCAGCTTCTGAGAATAGAGGGGGGGGGGGTTACTACTAAGAGCAAAGACGTTACCGAAAACACATTCTGGCTTGAATGTCATGTACACTAATACTGACACGTTCCTTGATAAGAGAGAGGAGTTTGAAACACTACTGAAGGTACACCAACCAGATATTGTAGGTGTTGTAGAACTGTTGTACGAGAACAGGAGAATCGACCCAGAGGAATGTGAGTTCAATATTGCTGGATATGACTCATTTACGAACCTTTCTCAAGAAACTTTCAAGAGGGGTGTGGTTATCTATGCTAGGCAAGACCTTAGAGCAAGCCAGGCGAGGGTACAGGGAGAGGATGTTTCTGAAGAGTCCAAGTGGTGTAAAATTAAATTAAAGGGAAGGGACTTACTTATCGTTGGGTGTATCTACAGATCCCCAAACTGTGGCCCACTAAATTAAAGGAACTTAAGAGCCTTAATAGACAACACGGCGATGCTCAACCCTAGCCACCTTCTTATCATGGGGGACTTTAACT